TTCGGATGGTTGTCTCTTTACCTTGTTGACGGTTTCTTTTGCTGAGCAGAAGCTTTTTAGTTTGATGTAGTCCCATTCATTTATCTTAGCTCTTACTTTCCTTGCCTTTGAGGTCAAATTCATAAAATCCTCTTTAAGTCCAAGGTCCTTGAGTTTAGTTCCTATGTTTTCTTCTATGCATTTTATTGTTTCAGGTCTTATATTTAGGCCCTTAATTCATTTTACTTCTGGTTACTTCTGGTGTGTGGTGATAGATAACAGTCTAGTTTCATTCTTTTGCAGGTGTCTTTCCAGTTTTCACAGCACCATTTATTGAAGAGGCTTTCCTTTCTCCATTGTATGTTTTTGGCTTTTTTGTTGAAAATTATTTGCCCATATAAAAATGAGTTTACTTCTGGACTCTCAATCTGTTCCACTGGTCTGTGTGGCTATTTTTCTGCCAATATCATGCCGTTTTGATTACTGAAGCCTTGACATTTTTTATATGTAATGTTCCAAAAGTATTTTCCAGAAAATGTACACTTTACAAGCAGCTTAATTTGCTTTTAAAAAATATTAAGATGTTTTTATTTTACCTCTTAGTAAAGGACTAGAGAACCACTTTTTAATACTGATGTAGTCAGCTTACTCACCAGCCTAATTACCAGGGCTCCTAAGTAAAATGCTCTTGCGTAATTTAAATATTCATGATGAACAAATATTTATTGAATTTCTAGTATTTTGATCAGCATTGTTATAGTGATATGAGATATAGAGAAGTAAATCAAGTATAAGACTAATTCTTTAAAAATAGTCTATATATGCAGACATGTGGAAAGAGCATTCATTAGGGATTATGAAACCTGATTTGTGGTCCCCCAGCCTCATTGCAAATAACTGTTATTTTAGACAAGTGTTTTGAAACTTAGTTTTCTATAAAACATAGGTGTATATTATTTCAGTGATTGTAATTCCAGGAAAGAGGACAATATTGTTAGTACAAAATTTTTTTAGCATTTTCAAATATCCAAACCCAGCCCTCCATTGGGATTTCACTTTCTTCTTGAAGCTTTCCTAGATTATTCCAGTTCACACACTCTCACTTCCTTCCCTAAACTCCCTCCAGACTTGGCACTTTAGAATTTAATCAAATTGCTATCACAGATTAGTTTGACTACTGGCCAACCTAACGCCTAAGGATAGCAACTGTGACTTCCAAAACTTTTATTTTCTTACTGCCTTTACATGCACTAAAAAGGGATTGCTTTCAACAAATGCAGTTTATTTATTAAATGTATATTAATAATTCAAATGTTTCCTTAATGGCAATAACTTAACTCAATGAGATCACTAATGAATGCTTTCTATTCCACCTCCACAGAAATTTAATTTCCTGCAATGGCTTCCATTTCCTATACTTGTCCTTCCCTGAAGGAACTCATTCTCTTTATCACTTCTGGAATCAGCAGAGACCTCCATCCTCCCTCTGGCATCTCTGAGATAGCCAGGAGTTCTTATCCACCCCCAGTACTTGCAGTACTGGTTCTTAATTACTCTAATGTATCACATTGTCACTGTCCACTTCACGATTAGGTGGAATCTGAGAATGCCTTATTGCTTTAAAAAACATAAACTAAAAAGCTGAGTTTTAACACCAATCCTCCCCAAACTCTTCGAAAAAACTGAAGAGAGAATACTTCTGAATTCACTGTATGAGCCAGCATTATTCCAATACAAGAACCAGCATTATTCCAATACCAAAGCCAAAGACACCACAAGAAAACTAAATAGCACTATCCTTGATGAATATCAATGCAAAAATCGTCCACAAAATACTAGCATACAAACTCCATGCAGATAGAAGCTTCTGCGCTTGGGACCCTCCCAACAGACCTCGCCACCTTATGTAATCTTCATCTGGTTGTTCATCTTTATCCTTTAATAAACTGGTAAACAAAAGTGTTTCCTTGAGTTCTGTGAGCCACTAACAAATTATCAAACCTGAGGAGGGGGTCATGTGAACCTCCAATCTGTATCTAACTCAAAGGTTGTGGGTAACGTGGACACCTACTTCTTGCAATTAGCATCTGAAGTGGAGTGGGAGCAGTCTTGTGAGACTGAGTCCTTAACCTGTGGGATCTGACGCTATCTCTAAATAGTGTCAGAATTCATTTAAATTGTAAGACACCCAGCTGGTGTCACAATTGCTTGGTGTAGGGAGAAACACCCACATTTGGTGACCACAAATGTCAGAAGTGAAGTGTTCTGCATGAGAAATAAAGGACAAACACAGGAGGAAGTACTGGGTTTTCCCCCACAGAAAAACTGATGTTTTTCACTAGAACACGTCTGATCCAGCCATTCCACTTTTGGGTGTAGATATCTGTACACCTACATTTATAGCAGCATTATTCATAATGAGGTGGAGGCAACCTAAATGTCCAACAGATGAATGGATAAACAAAATTTGTTTTATACATAAAGTGCAATATTATTCAGCCTTAAAAAGGAAATTCTGACATATTGTACAACACAGACACAGCCTGAAAACATGCTAATAGAACCAAACCAGCCACAAAAGACAAATACTGCATGATTTCACTTATATCTAGAATGGCCAGATTCATAGAAACTGAAGGTAGAAAGGCAGTTGCCAGGGCCTAGAGAGGGAGGGCAGGAGAAATGTGAAGTTGTTTGATGAATAGAGTTTGTTTTGCAAGATGGAAAAAGTTCTGGAGGTTGGTTGTACAATGTGAAAACACAAACTCTAGTACCCTTAAATATGGTTAAGATGGTAACTTTTTAATGTTAACATGTATTTTCCTACAATTTAAACATTTAATTAAAACCAAAAACTGAGCTCAGTTGTCAAAATAATTCTAAAATTCAATTCCGAAATATAGATGCTAGAGATCAAGAGTCTTAATGCGTCAGATCTTCCTAATTCCTTTTCCAAAACAAGTAAGTTCCAGCTGCCTGGACAAGATGAAAATCTGGGACAGCTTCTGTGGTCAACTAGCTAAACTAAAGCGGACAATGAATTCCACTTATGTGAAACTGAGCATTTCAACTGCAGAATAATTTCTGCTCACCGGATACTGCATGTTAAAACTAATATGGCATTCTGATTGACTTAGAAAGCTTCCATTTCCAGCAACTGCCTCAATAATATTCAAGTCTATGTTGAGTTCTAAGTCCTGCAAAGAGAAAATAGTGAACTAGGTATGGTCCTTGCCCTCACAGATCTTAGAATCCAGCAAAGGAGACAAAGAGAAAAATAAAATGCGTTCGCACGCCCTAAAGCAAAACCATTTAATTCCATGCAGGTGTGCCGTCACAATGACCACACGATAAATTTATTTTCACCTTAAAAATAACTTTTAGTTTCTTTCAATTTAAAGATGCCAAACTAAGGCTGCTGCGGTTTTAATCCGTCCTTTGCTACGCGGAAGAAGACAAGGTTAAGGAAGTATGAGCTCCAGTTTCGATTCTGAGCAC